CGTTGGCACATATTTTTCTTTGTAGCGGACAGGGCAGAAAGTAAAGTAAACACAACAGAAGAAGAATAAAGACACACATTATTTCCATGATCTTCCATGGGTATCATCTTTATACTAAATAAATGGAACCCGTCATTTTTTTTCGGCAGCGTTTTGGAATTTGAAAAAAAGGCTTGCGCTGCGGACATGTGCTCAAGTTGGTATAAAGGGGCTACGTTTTCAGGTTTCGGGGGTTTCTGTTTGTTGACGTACGACACCGCCGCTACAACAACAAGCTTGACCCCTTTCGCTCCCATCCCAAACAGTGACCCTGGCCAGATGGCCGGAGGTTGCCTCGCACAAGTTGTTGTGGTCAGCAGAAATGTAGTTGAATAATTATGAAGATCGTATTCATCGTCTTGGCCAATCAGGCGTAATTGTCGTACAATTAGCAATATTTAATCCCTCCCAAATATTCCAAAAATGGACAGAGCTGGCAAAACATGTTAATAAGGATGTGTCCTCGTATAAATATCACCGCGACCTACTCGCAGACTCATTATGCACGGAAAGAAACCCCACATCCAACGGGCGGCGTAACCCCACGACCAGGCCGCGGGGCAGTGGGACACCGCGGGACGTGAAGCGTGGGTAGCCCGGCCTATCTGGAGCAGCGCGCGGGCGTGGAATGCGGGCAGCCCGGCCAAGCTGGAGCAGCGCACGGGCGTGGAATGCGGGCAGCCCGGCCAACAGCGCGCGGGCAGCCCGGCCAACAGCGCGCGGGCAGCCCGGCCAACAGCGCGCGGACGTGGAAAGCCCCCGGATTTACGTCGTGCAGGCTCGGAGGTAAGCCCAAACTTGAGAAGGTTGAGACTGTTAACGTTCTTTTAATATCGGAACCATATGTAGTGTGTATTTGTGTCCACGATCTTGGTTCATGTTGCCTCACTTATGTTTACCATCAAACGGTGTATTATTTTGGTATATTTTTTGTGTAATGTTATGATTTTTTGTGCATGTAACATGTAAGTTGTTCCATTTCGCGATCGATCAGTCCGTTTTTCTATGCAGTCGTTCAGGCTAGGTGACATTGTCTCTGAGCGGCCCCACGTTCTGCTCGGGTAGCGTCTCTTATTTTGAAATTTAAAGAATCGTTGTTCACACCGGCGTCCTGACTGTTCTGACACCGCTTCGTCCAAATGTTTTCCTTCGCTGTCAATCGTTGTTGTAAAGCTTGCGTAAATAGCCTTTTAATTTCGTTTCTACACTATGATACCCTATACCTTCCAAAATGACGTGCCCACTGAACTTAGCCTGTTGCGATTCTCTGGCTTAAAGTAAGTGTTGACTCCTGAGCTTCTGAGAAAAGGTCAACAGTGATTTTCCCCACAGTTCCCGATAATGTCAACGTGAAAACTTCTAGTGGTTTGGGGGAAATTGGGTCACAGAGTAAATATGAAAATATTCGCCTTTACATTTGTTGAGGATGTAGAACTGGTTTCTTAGGAAGAAGCGCAGGCGGGCGTCCTTGACCGTAGATATACCGGGGAGGGTAGTGCGGTGCTCGCCGCACTCTGGCGAATAATCGTTCTGTTGTATTTTCAATCAGTTCCTTGACTCAGTCGTCAATTTCTGCTTCATACGTTTGCGTTCTGTATACTTGAGATAGAATTTTTTTCATACACGCATTTCATACCCGTATACTGTTCTAATATTTGAGTGTTCTTTATAGTTCAGTCGGTTGGTAGTTTCAGTCTTGTCAACATCGACGTCTGTACTATTCCCTATAATTCGGTCGCTTTCTGTCGTAAAGAAATAGTATGAATACAGAGCAGTTACCAAAAGTTTTGAGTAGACTTTTTCGCACCGTGTTTTCGACGGTTACATATACACACGTTGTTCTTTAGTAAGTGTTTTTTTTTTTATCTTGTTGTGTAAAGTGGTATGTTGTTCTAGTGTGATGTGATTTCGCTATGCTGTGTCCCTTCAGTCACTTTCCTATCGATGGTGGAATGCAATCTCAAAGCACGACAGATCTCTCGGTTTCGGGTGAAAGACACTATTGAACCAGACCAGACTTCTGAGACTGACAGTTGGCCCCCGTACATCGTTTTCAGATGTTGTCATCGTCACATACATGTATTCCCTGCTATCACCATGGTACATCGCGTGGATCATTTCATTTCCCAACAGCCACAACTATCAACTTTAAAACAATCATTTAAAAAGTTTGCTTTGACTGATGTTGTGGTTTGAGTAAACAAGGAAGCGATTTGGCTGGTTCGATTCTGCTGTCTCGGCGGGGTTGATTGGGCGCTGTGCGAGTATAGAGGAAAATTCGTCTTTGGTCTGTACAATAAGTAGAAGAGGTACTTGCTCATTAAATCTTTTGGAATTTTCCCCACTTTTGCTTTTTGTCGGCTTATAATATCAGCGGTTATAGGAAAGGTGAGTTCGCTATAATTAGAAATGCATAATGCGGATTCGATGGCCGTAAGCGGCACACCATACGGGTCTGTCGGTTACATCATCGTACGATAAGTAAAAGAAAGTACGTGGTTATTGACACACCCGTTGTGGATATAAAATATTTCTTTTACCTTATTGACACACCCGGTGTGGATAGGAATTTTTTTCTCCTTATCGATTCACCTGGTGTGGATAGTAAACCTCGATGATTGATGCACCTAAACTTTGCTGCTCTGTACGCATGTTTTCTTCCGCGGTCACGCTGAATGCTGTCGAACTATGCAGAATAACGCAACCCTAGAATGCAACAGACTTCGCTAACCTGTTCTACACTGTTTCTTTCAGCTTTACATGACGACAAACACAACAGTTAATCAAGGATACAATCAAGACAGAAGAAGTGGAACAAAATACCAGGTGAGTGCCTAACCATCCTTATTATACGCAATATTGTACATAATCATGGTTAGGCAATGTTCGCATCTCTTCACGATAAGCTGTGTGACTTTTGAAATACGGTACCATGCTTTCCGTGATGTCATTGCTGGGAAAACGATGTCATGTATCAGTTACATTACATGATAGGACTATTAAAGCGTGTGGCATATGTAATTGCGAAACACAGTCAGATATTATGTACATTAAGATTTAATTTGCATAATTAATGAGAACACGTTGTAATTCAGCAATGGTAACTGCCTGGAATTTCATTCCTAGGGCATTTGAAAGTTAGGTGAAGGTAAACATCATTAAATCACATAACGTATTCAAATAAGGACCTCATTTTCTTTTCTCTATTTGTGTCCACAGGTAAATTTCGCCATGTCTCACCCTGAGATGCAGACTACAGCAGGGATTCACTGGCAAGCACGAAGCCCAGTCAAGGAAGGATCGGGGTGTGCATTCATGTTTTGCACGCAAGAATATTGAAAAACAAGCATTGAATGCAGCAGCATCGTGAAAGCAAAGAAAAATATTAACTAGAAAGGCCAATATTTGCTTTGGAGCAAATACAGCGATGGCTTCACCACATTTTACGACATGGCAGGGAAAGAATGAGAAACACAAGGGAAAACAATGCTTTTCATTGATATAACTATAATATGAAGTAACAAACATACAACTAAGACTACAACAGTTGGCTAGCTATTCCCTACATTATTGGTTAGGATTTTTAATTGCATAATGCAAACTGTTGATTTAAAAAAAAAACGTTCATGCCCCGCATTCCAATGCTGGAGCAGGAAAGCTTGAAATACCTACCAAAACACTTGAATACAGACATACTGTCAGTATGGAAATAGTCTGTGCAGGTGTTAATCAAGTTAAATCCCAACAGCCAATCAGCAAGAAATGCTCTGTGCAGGTGGAAATGGTCTGTGCAGGTGTTAATCAAGTTAAATCCCAACAGCCAATCAGCAAGAAGAAGAGAGGAAAGCTGCATGCCTATTGGTTGATGCCCTGCATTCCATTGTGATGACTCATGCCAAATGTGGTTAACACTGCCCACTGACACAGTAATACATTTGCTATAATACAGCCAAAAAACTCAAATAAAACCATTCTAAAAGCCTGTATCACAATAATTTAAAAAACGCCTAAGGGTATTTGCCCACTGTACCTCCATACCAAATTTCAGATCCTTAGGCCCCAAAATGAAGAAGCTGAATCCATTTTAAAAAAATGGCAGGAGAAGGAGAAGGAGGAGAAGAAACATCAGAGAAAACAATATGGTTTCACCAGACCACTTCGTGGTCTGGTGAAGCCATAATAAAAAAAGCAAGACCGCAAAAACACGCATGATAGAAAACACACAAGTGAATAAAATCCATTACACAAAACATCATCATTATCACACAGTTAAGTTATTTAAAAAAAAGCCCAGCATCATATGGTTGAAACTAAAAACTTACTTGAAACATTATTCTTTTAAGCTTGAATATGCTGCTCCTTGTTCTTTCTTATGAGCAACAAAATTATTCTGTTTTATTTTATTCTATTTCTTCTCTCTTGATAGAAGAGAACATATTTGAAATATCAATAAAGACAATCAATTAATATTCTGTGTGCAAAAAGCCACAGTTGGCCGGAAAAGGTGCCTTTTGCATGCATGGTAACATAGGCCTTTCCTGCTTGGTCCGATGACCACATGGCCGGAGGTTACCTCAAAACCAATTCCCTAGGGACTGCATTCGTGCAATTTTTGAAATTCTTTCAAAGCGATCGTAGTACTGTAAAAAATGCCTCCGCCCCTGAGGCGTCGCCAAAAAAAGATGAATGCTGGTACCAACATGATCGCAAATTCCACAGCTTTAACCCCCTGTGTGTTATATAAGTGTTAAGCATAAATGTGCGGTTGTGTTTAGAAGTTGCTAGTAGTTTATATGGTGTTTGGAATCAGGCATGAAACAGTGGATGAGTCACCAGAAGGGCAAAGCAAGGTCAAACATGTCCATTTTTTTATTGTGATAAATTCTGCCTTTTGACAACGGTAAGTAAACATTCTCGCGGGAGTCCTGCGCAGATTGGTAAAGTCAAACTCAGTCGCCACCATGGGGCCTCTGTGGCGGCGCGTTTTTCTGGTCTCTCTGCTGTTACTTGGATTATTGTCCGGTGGAGTTTCTGACGACATAGGTGGATCTTTCGTCCGGAACCACACGATCATCCTGTCGGGAAGTCCGTACAACGTTACCGATGAAATCATCGTCGGTGAGGAGGTGACTCTGACGATCGAAGCGGGGGTTCGGCTGTTGTTCCCGGAGAGGGTCGGCATGACTGTGCTCGGGCGGCTGATAGCTGTAAGTGTGAAATCTGTGTGTTGGAGGAATTCTAGATGGGCTAATGCTCTAAGTCTTGAAATATGTGTGGTGGTTTTATTTTCACGATATTCAAGTCGACCGCTCCATCGCGAAGTCATGACTTCGAGACTTTTACTTGTTATAGGTAGTAATACAGCTAAAGCCTAGGTCACAATTCAAAAAAAGGGCCCGCTCGGTGCGTTTGCGGCCTGTTTTTTTGGCACTACCGTACTGGACCTGGAAGGCAACTGGCGGGGTTCTCAACCGCTGCCGGCCTATTTTGGCGCCGCGCGGTCGCCGAATTGATTTTAACTCGAACTTAAAATCACCCCGGGCCCCGCCAGGAAAGGTACGCCGAAACGACGCCGGAACCTCACCGGACCAAGCCGTAACCTAGCCGCCGGGTCCCGCCAGGCGGCCGCACAGTACAGGCACCTGTCCAAGATTAAGACGTCATGTGTGCTAATCTGTGCTTTAGTTTTTTAGAAGAAGGTGGTTATAGAGAGCATTGTGATGTTCTCGACATAACTTCATCATCAGTGAGTCGTAGTGACCATACACGGGTCTACGCATCAACCAGGGGCGAACCCACCATACCAGCCAGGGGCGTACCAGCCTGGGACCCGCCAGGATCGCCCATGGGCCCCGCCGGAATGTAAGAGCCGCTCGGCCCCCTACCGCATTTCACACGGGTCAAGACGGAGAACTGACCGGGCATCAGAAGGGTCCCTAACAGAGACCGACCGTCAAAAGGACCAAAAGTTTGTGAATTTTAAATAGAAGTGCCCCGCGGCCCAACAGAGAGCCGTAAAGAAACATTTAATTGTGACCCCGTCTACACCGGGAACATGTCGAACAGGCCCCGTTTCAAATGTGACTCCAGCTTAAATAACGAGTCTATAGTAGGCGCAATCATTAAATTACATTTCAACAACCCGTGCCGTGCTTCTCCATTTGAGATTAGACCAGACAATAGTAGAAGACATGCAGAAAAAGCGACACACTAACCACAAATGTGGTAGGAGAGAAGACAGCGTAGACGGCAGAGACCAGCACAAACCTTCACGCAACCAGACGCAGAGTTCACCTGTGACAACTGCGGCAAAGTCTGCCGTTCTAGGATTGGACTCTACAGCCACAGCCGGCGATGTCTGAAGACGAACTGAACCATGGCGCGGACTCGATCGTCTCCTGAGACGGAAGGATGCCAACAAGACCACAATTGCTACAATAAGAGGCAAATTGTAACCGATAGTAAATGCACTGCTAAAGCCTAGGTCACAATTCAAGAAAGGGGCCCGCTCGGCGCGTGTTCGGCCTGATTTTTGGCAGTCGGCGCACGCTCGGCGTCATGACGCCGGCCGGCGTCTACGCCGAGGACACGCCGAACGGGCGCCGATTCAATTGTGACTTAAGCTTAACTAGTTTCTACCAACCTAACTACGTCGGCTATATATACGAGAATATTTTCCAGGGTAGTTCAGCCGATTTTGATATGCCGCTTATTTAGAGGGGGGGGATTAAATCTCTAGCGGACCGACTCTCCTTGCCAACTAGTTTGGACAGGCTGCGCTCTTTGGTCTGCCGGGCATGCACCGGCTGTCGTGGTCGCAAAAAAGTTGCCTTCATGCTGCCCTGCAGGGGTCCCGGGGGTTTCCTCATTGGTAGAACTCCGGTAATGCTTATGCTTAGGTCACAATTCAAGAAAGGGGCCCGCTCGGCGCGTGTTTGGCGTGTTTTTTAGCACTACCGAACGGGACCTGGACGGAGACCGGCTGGCTTCCCGACGGTTGCCGGCCTATTTTTGTCCCCGCGCGGTCGCTGAATCGATTTTAACTCAGAGTTAAAATCACTTCGGGCCCCGTTCGGCGAAATACGCCGAAGCGACGCCGTAACATCAGTGCCCGGAACCCGTCGGGCAGCCGAACAGGCACCTGCCTAAGATTATGACGTCACATGTGCTGATAAGTGCATAAGGTGGTAAGGAAAATGGGGTTATATGGGGTATATGTAAACTCCTTGTTCAGACTACGTCGCGCAGTTCAACACGCGTGCGTTACACCGTGTACTTGTGTGTGCTATACCGTATACTTGTGTGTCAGAATGCTGATTGGCAGTGGAAAATAGCCGAGACGATAGCCCGGCATACCTGTAATTCAGAACAGTGATATTGTGTTGCATGTGGGCTACCCTTAATAAGGGAAACTCCAAGGATCGGTAGCTGTTCCCGGTCGCCAGGAAACGGCGAGTTGGCGGTAATGGCGAGTTTTAGGCCTGCTGGCAAGGGCTGTCTGGCTCTGGATAGAATTAAAGAGAAGTGTTACATACAGACTGGACTGTAATATCTAAATTTTCTGTTATTATATAACATTATGGGTACATTGAAATGTGTCAAGAAGTAGAGGGCATTCATTAAAAAAGAACTTGCTCCGGACTTTTCTCGATGGATGGGCCTACACGTTGTAGGGGGTCGTGAAACATCTATTTAAAGTCGCAATGATGGCAGGCAGTGTAGCGCTTATATATATATATATATACCGGCTTACAAACAGGACGGGATCCCGCCAGGGACGCGCCAGGATCCTCCCTGGACCCCGCCAGGGACCTGACAGCTAACCGGCCGAACTGTAAGAGCCGGTCGAAACCCTACCGCAAGCCGCACGGGTCAAGACGGGGGACTGATCGGCCACCGGACGGGTCCCTGACAGGAACCAAAAGTTTATGAATATTAATAATATAATACTGGATGTGTCTATTGTCCCTGATGAGAAGACTTGAAGTAGTCGTCAGGTGTTGTGTAGGTCTTGACAGCAACGTAGAGAGTCATCGTTAGACCACCATAATTAGAAGCCGCAGGCCGGAGCACAACCAGGCCCCGACAGGAAGCCGTAAAGGAACATTTAATTG